GGCCCGGTTTTTCACAGCCCGTAACGGTGAAAACGTTAGATGTTCTTCAAGCGCAATTCACAGGCTGATAGGTCTGGCCGTCGGTGTTGGCTTGCCCCGCTTAGTTTATCAAGCTGCTGTAAAACAGATTAGTAATACCAGCAATAAAAGTCGAAATTAAATTGCCGTAAAGGCGTAAAGGTGGTGTTTGTTTTTAAGAATTGTTATTTTCACTTGGAGGCTACGTTCCTTGCTGGACTGGAGCCCCGAGCGCCGGACCGCAGCGGAGGTACCTCCTGGAATCTCTCGGTTTGGGCTTCGCTTCTGGTTTTGTACTGAATGTTGGTCGGGCAATAAATAACTCTGTAAAACGCGTTGCTGCCGTTAAACTTGAGGGAGTTTGTTCTGCAACGGCCAGAGCATCGATGTGAATGAAAACCATAGGGAAATGCAGAATGCTCCAAAAGGAAGAAAGTGAGGGGAGGGAGAGGAGCGGCTGGAATTGGTAACTTCTGTCGTGTTTCCGAGGAAGTCCATCCAAAGGGTTAACTGGAGGGGCTGAGGGAGACCAGACACCTGGGACCTAACACCCAATTGGCAGTCTTTTGTAATATATAATTTGCCTAAAATTGCGCGCTGAGCACAAGCTTTTGTTTTCTAATTGATTTACGGTTTGAGCCACTTTTACCTCATCCCCTACTGTCCCGCACACGGTGCCAGCAAGTACATTACAGTGAGAAATGATAAATTACCATGCACTTGTGATGCTAATGCATCAAGGGTAAAAAACTGCATACTACATGGCATACTACATGGAGCTTCATGCATTAAGAGTGTCGCAAAGATAGAGCTATGCAAAAAAAAAAAAAAAATCATTTGTATCTTCTGAAATAACTGTTTGATCACTTACTTCAATTCATCTCTGAGACCTAATTGAACCTGAAGATTAAAATTTATGCTATTATGACTTTCCATTTGTGAACTGGGACAAAGTTCTAAAGAAAGTGTGTGAGTGTGGGCTTCAAGTTACCTATATTTTTGAAACTTTTAGTAAGTGAATTGATCAGAACAGTAACAGGTATTACAGCTTCTTAAAGCCTTTTTAAAATCTAAATATTGTGCTTGGTAATGACAACTACAGTATGCATTCTCCAGTGGCATTGCTCCACTTCTAGATGGGAGTATGTGTCGATGGCTTAATCTAAAGTATTTGAATAGTTTTGGTGACAAAGATCAATTAATCTGTTTTATTTCGGAGTAGTACATCGTGTACTAAACAATATCTTTACAGGTATCAAGGAAGAATTGAAAATCTTGTATGTATAATTTTTGCTTGCATTTTGGAAATACCTTCCTGGTATCCCAGAGAAAAGGAAAAATGTAGAAGCTGGTGAAACCTAATATGTGCTTACCGTCTGATTTCTTTCCCCCCACCCTGCACCAGGGGCTGGGTTTTGTTTTACCTTCACATTACTCAGTCCACCTTAAATTTTTTATTTTTGTACGATGTCTGTGGGTTCCAGTCTTGAAATATGAAGAAACAGATTTATGGCGGCTGCTGGGCACAACAAATTAAGTTGACAGTGATGTATGAGAGCATAATAGCATGATGATCCCTCTGTAGCGCGGCTGGACGCCTCCTGCTTCATTTGGCTCTTGTTAGGATCTTTTAGGCAGCTAAATAATGAAATTCTGCTGACTGATTTCTGATTTCTCTTTTCTTTCTCTTTTCACCTTTTTCTGAAACTTGCATTTCCCAGACCCATCCTAATGCCAGCAAACTGCCATTAAAGGATTCTTTCACTTATGACGATTACAGGTTGGTCTGTCTTTTAATTCTTTTTTTCTTCCCCCCTTTTTTTTTTTTAATATAGTGAACCGTGGGACCCTGGAAATGCTTCATTGGTGGGAAAGCCCTATTGTTATTGAAATGTTAAATGTATAAATTGATACTAATACACTTTCTTAATGAAGAAAAAAGTAAAATAAATATGCAGATTTTAATTGTTACAAAGGAGTAGTCATTATGAGCAGTTAATTTAGCCAACTGGCACACACAGGCGGAGATTAGTAAGGTAATTCGTTGTTTCTGAAGAAAATAATTCAGGTTTCAGGTTTGGGGATTTATTTTTTTTTAAACTTTTTTTTTTTTTGTAAAAGGCTTTACCAGCACATAGTAGTAAAAAGTAATACTTACAACGGCTCCTGAACAGGAGAGCTGGTGAACTTAAGCTGTACATGTGAAGCATGAGTGTCACTTGGAGGTGCTATAGGGGGTGACATAATTAAGATAAAAATAAGAATAATTAAGATAATGAGAGCTTTAATTCTGTGAAGTGATTAAAATAGCACGAATAAAAGGCATTCATGAGGTCTTACAAGGAATTTTTTTTTAGCCTAGTTGTACTTCTGAGTTAAGTCTATGAAAGTGGGATTTCCAAAGCACGTTTCCTTCACTTATAGGGTCACAGAGGAACACGCCAACTTACACGTGCAGTGGTCTAAAATGTTGCAGATGAAGTACAACAATTAAAAAGAAACATATTTCTATTATGTTTCAAATAGTGTTTGTATGTCAGAATTATCCACAATTTTAACTTGCTTTTTTTAGAAATTAAGTAGATTTGAACTTGACAGTATCTTTGTAAGCAATTTCTAGTCCTACTGAAAGTCTAATTTGGTATATTAAGTACTTGTTGGTAGTGAAGTCAGTGGAAGTTAAAATTAGTTTGACCTTCTGGTGGAGTTCCTTCCACCCATGTACCCCCATCCCAGAAAGAAACATAACAAATCTGTGTATTAAGGTCAGAACATAGTGAAACTAAGATTATTTTTTTTCCTTCTGGCATCTAATATTCATTTTTGTGTGAAATAAAATAAAACAAAAATGAAATTTTAGAAAATACTGAAAAATGAAGCTCTTCTTTTCTCTTCCGAAGATTCTTAAATTTGAATTAGGTAGCTGGCATTTCCTTTGCTTAACCTGAGTTAGAAGGGTTTTGAATGATGTCTGTGTGCTAAACTGTTTTACTTTCTTCATTCTTTTTACCTGGATATATGTTTGAGGTATTTGGGCCTTTTTTCCTCTTTATACTGTTAAGCAGAAAATTTAGGGATACTGATCTAAGCCAAAAGTTTGCAAACTGAAGCAAAGCACTTACCAAAATATTATGCATGTGTCAGGTGATGACACTGGTTTCCAGTTCATGCAGCACATAAGCTTTTTAAGGAGCAAAGGGAAAAATACCTCCTGGCTCTTACAAGAGTCTGCACATAGATGAGAGCTGCTGCTGCCAGGCAGTAGCTGTGAACTACCCCGGAGCCTGCAGGAATAGCTGACCCCAGGTTTGGGCTGTGTGGCGAGAGGTATGTGTGCAGTGAAGGGTTGGGGAAGCAGAAGGTGATGTGGGAGTGGGTCCTGGTTGAGGGAATGGAAGGTGTGAAGGTTCTGTTGCAAAGAGTGCAGAAGAGGGGGTGGGATCGCAATCCTGATTCGGGAATCGGTCTATGTGCGTGTCTTGGAAACCTGGGAGCTGCTGCTTCTCCTGCAAGTAGCTTTGCCTTCTACTGTTAATGTAGGCAGTGTGGTCTTTAAGAAAACTAAGTTTGGAAACTCACAGCCTAAATGAGTGCTTCAGGTTGGACGACAGCCAATCATACATCGATGTTTTGAATGCTGACCATCTAATGTCTTTAATTTTTTGTAGATGGGCTGTTTCCTCTGTTATGACAAGGCAGAACCAGATTCCAACAGAAGATGGTTCCAGAGTTACATTGGCTCTAATACCTTTATGGGACATGTGTAATCATACTAATGGACTGGTAAGGATTTCTTCAGTGTTGCTGAAAGGCTTTAGGGCTTAAGTATTAAGCCTTTCAACTGCTGTACAACAGTTTAACAACACTTTTCATTATGTTTCTTAACACAAGTATTTTATCTTCCCAAGTGACCTTAAAAAACTAATATGTGAAAGAAAGATTTGTCAGTTTTTTAAATGTCTTACGATAGCTTTTCAGGGAGAACTTTATTCATCTAGAGAAAACTTAGAAGTGATTGCATACAGTTATGTCTCATATACGTATAATGTGCCGTAAAAAGTTTTCGGTTACATGATACTTTTTTTCCAGGCAAGTTTGTATTTTCTTCTGACGAGGAGTTTTGTTTCTGGCGGGCTGAAAAATATTCACAGTACTGGACAGATTTGTTCTGAGAATAGGAAAGCGGGCAATGATAGAGGTTGCCCCATATAGCTACCACTAGGGAAAGTGGTTAGAAATTTGCTACTAAGAAATACTGCCTGCTCTCCTAACCATGCCCAGAGAGCCTTGTTATGGAGACAGCAACAACAAGAACAAAGCCTAGTTCAACAAAAACAGTACATCTGTTACTACATCAAAGAAACAAAATGCAAAAATACTACTTTAGGGCATATTAAACATTTAAAAGGTGACATATGTATGTAGAAAGTCAGACCTGCTGACATTTTGGCTTACGTGAGCGAGTTCAGAAGATGAGGTCTTGATTTCATTAACAGGCTGGTTAATGTTGAAGTGAGGAAATGAAAACCCATAAGAGGACAGTTTATCAATCTTATGTAACCAGTCTCACATACGCTTCAAAACTCATACCTGCTAATTGTGTATCCAGTGGATAGTATTTTTTTATTGTTAGCAGTGAATATGACCCTACTATTCAAGTTGTAAAGCAAGTTGGTTTTCACTTGACATTTAGCTAATTTATTGTTACTATGACTGTACCAAATGCACCAAAGTAGGCTAGGCTACAGAGTTGCAAGTGTTTGGTGGGATTTCTTTTTTTATTTATTTTTCCCTATTAAAACGTGATTACATGTTGTTGTTTAACTGTGATTCTTGCCTTTTGCTATTTGTTATGCAATCTCATAACTCTGAAATGGCAATAAGGCTTGTATGACAGTCTCCAATGTAAAGAAAATTGCTTAAAATTTAGAAATGTATATTTTTGTAATACAAGTCTTAGTACTTCCTGTACCCTTTTCCTGCTGGGCATCTCTTTCAGATGCTTTTGCAGAGACTTGTCTGTATTCATTAGACAACTCTTAATGAATGCCTTCAAAGTTGGGATCAGAGGAAAGAGGAAGAGAGGAGGGAGGGAAAAAATTATGTAGCCTATATTAAAAGAGCAGCTAGTTATGTTGTTTTAATCATTCAAACTTCTATTTAAATTGATAAAGTAATTTTTATTTTTATTATGCTCTTTAACAATGGGTTTGAGATGGAGCCAGCCTCCGGAGCCAAACCTGCTAGTGCAGTAGACTATCAGGGTTGGAAGCATTTTTTTTTTTATGCTGAAGTGTATCCTAAAGGGTGGAGGGAGGGGTGATGGTGCACTAAACTTAAATATTTTGACTGTACATGCAGCCTTTACTCATTTGTTTCATATTTCTACAGAAAACAGTTTAGATAGTTACAGATTTAGGAAGGATAGACAACTGTAATATTGATAATGGGCTAAGAAAAGCTACTAAACCTATTTCTGTTGTGTGTTAGTTTTCTTGTACTATTAGAAATGGGGGAAAAATCCTGCTAAGATAACTGTAAGCTGCTAAGGTAACTGTAAGTTGTCTGCATTGTAGTTTGTTATTGTAGAGCGCGATGAGGGGGGGTTCTGCTCTAATCATAGCATATCACTTGAAAATACACAAAGGGAATTGTTCTTCATTGCAAGAAAGTAAGAAACAAAAGACAGTGTTGTGTGTGCCCCTGTTTAGTCTGCTCCAAACAAAGTGCTGAAATACTTCTTGAGTCAATCAGCTGCTATAGATCCCTGTTGGTGCTTTATTCCATGGGGCTCCTTTCCATGAGCTAGATAATAAAATGCTCTTTGGGTTTTAACTGGAGCTAGGTCCATCCAGCTTTTTCTTGCTTCTGACAGTATTAATTAGATCAACCTGCCACTAAGAACTATATCAAAATGGTTGTCTTCATGCATTTCTCATTGTTATTCTTTAGTGGGATTGTATTTTGACAGTCAGAGGTTGATTACCAGTTCCGCCAGAGCTTTAAATAAGCTATATTCTGCCTGTTGGGCTGGGTCCATCCTTAATCACTGACCAAGCAGACTATTGCATGCTTTATACACAACTTGAAATTCATGTATCAGTCTGCTTCAGAAATAACACTGAAGGGATGCAATTTGTCAGCTATCATGTGGGAAGAGAAGTAAACACCCTGTTAATTCTATTACATGACTGCTATTAAAAGAAAGAGGAAATAAGAGTCTAGCACTCCATTATGCTTTATAGAAAAGCCTTTTAGAAGAGCTGCTGTGTTTTTTAGTGGTTTTTTTTAAAGAAAAAAAAAGGCAAAAATAAAAAAACAATCCCAAAAAAGAGCAGTGCTCTAGTAAAGCATACTTAAACTGACAGAATCCTTCTCTTAACGTACTGTTCCACAGGCATTTCAAGAAACTGGAACGGAGTTTTGACATTCAGAAGTATTTCATTGAGTTTACACACTAAGAAAATTTCAGGATAGGTCCAGTACTGTCAAGAGTTCACCGAGTTCACTTTTTTGAATGGAAGTTGCAGTTTTTCCCAAGATCACTGTATTTTAATTTGGAAGGTGCATTTCTCATAGTGAAGTTAAATCCTCTAGCACTTGTGACCTGCAATTCAGGGTTAGATAACCTTCTAAATGAGAGATCTTAATTAAAAATTGTTCAGTCCAGCATGGTGAATGTACAAGAAAGCCTGTGTTTTGCAGTAGGCCATATCGCATGGTGCCAGTGTTCCCTTCTGATCTCAACATAGCACAAACCATTCATAGACCTGAAGTGATGGCATCCGCACGCAGAGCAGTTCGGCAAGCTTCCGCAGGGGCAGGCTGCCTGCGCTTGGGGCTGCCGTTTTGGGTTTACTGCATCATAGATGAGTTCCTTGTGCTCACTTTGAAAGCACTGTTTTGGGTGACAGATGCGCGCTTGATGATGCAAACAGCGCTAAAACTATTAACATGTAAACCATCAACCAAGCTTTCAAAATACTCCGTGGAGTTCTGTCTCTGGACAAACTGCATCCAAGATGGAAATTGGGATATACTGCAGCTCCCATGTAAGTCAGCTTCCAAACAAGTATGTTTTCATTTACAAAGGCTGAGAGAGAACCTTTGGCATCTCATAGTTTTTTTTCCCAGGCCCAGAGTATATTTTTCCAGTACTGAATTCAGAATACCTACCATAAAAGTTGCTTCCTCATTGTTCAGCAGCTTATGGTCCATCCTGTGGCTGCATCTGGGCCTGCGTCTTTGGTAATACTATTCAAGAACATGCTGTTTGTCACTTTAAAAAGTACTACATTTTTAGGATAGCTTTACTTGTTCGTGTGACCATTTTACGGTTTTGTAATTTTTTTCAGAGAAGTACAGATTTGTTATGAGAATTTATCCTCTTCCATTGCCTGCTACCATCAAAACAAAATCCTTTTAGCATTTTAAGAGTATTACTTAACTTTAGATAAAGGGATTATATGCAAGTAAATTATAATTCTCTGAAGATTGTATCCCCTAAAGATCCGCAGTTATCTAATCCTTTTTCATTGAGAGATCAAAAATGTGCTGGCAGTTGAAGGATAAAGCACAGCATATAGAGCTGTCAGTGCCTTGCTCCCTTGGGCCTCAGGGGAGTGACTGAAAACTCCAGAACTTCCTAACAAGCTGCAGGCTTTAGCATGGGACTGTCTGTGGTCTACGGAGGGTTCTTTCCTCAGAGCCTTCCATTCACTTCAGGTAGGTTATTTCTTCCCTTAGATTTCTTTAATACAGAGATTTTTTTTTTAAAAAAGAGATTGCTAAGGAATCATAAAACAATTACTACCAGCTATACTATATCATACAGAGAAAGAAATGTATGCAATTGCTATTCTTAATATCTGTTTCCAATAGGACAACGTTTTGTCAGTGGTGAGGGAGATACGTATAAAATGCTAAAGGTGCTTTTGTTACTCTTTCCTTGGATAGATCACTACAGGCTACAATTTAGAAGATGACCGGTGTGAATGCGTAGCGCTTCAAGATTTCAAGCCTGGAGAACAGGTAGCGTGAACAGTTATCTACATAATTGTTCGTTAATTAAGTTTTGTGGACACTTGGTAACTCCCTACAAAATTTTAATAACAGAGTGGTGTGAATTAAGCCCTGCTACATTTGTATTTTATTGTGCTGAGCTAATTTTGTGTGAAAATACTGCCAAACTAAGTGCATGTTTTTCAGAATAAAATACTTTCTGTCACTTGGTGTACAACCCAACTTTAGGTGAGTTTTGATTCCTCATTTTAGACAACTAATTGAAATATTTAATCATTGGTAAATGCATGTATACAGACACTGAGTGTGGTATTCTGGATGAGATTAATAAAGGCCATATCTGAAGAACCAAAGATAAATATAGATTTGGGGCATCACTTTGTCTGCAACAGCAGATTGTAGAGTCTCTCTTTAAAATTTTGATTTGTTTCTTATTAGTCTCCCTTTAACAAGAGTTTAAATGCATTATAGTTGCCAGTCATTTTACCCATGTCGCCATTCCCATGCTTAGTGAAAATGAGAAAGGACCTAAAAATACACTCCCTCCCTTTCGCACAGGCACGCAAACGTGTACACAGCCCGTCATCCTGAAACAGAAGGCACCAAAGGGCAGGTCTTGCAAAGATGCATGGAACAGTTCAGAATGCAATGTTTTATTCAGAACCACTAGGAAGCAAAAATGAGTGTTAAAACTAGTGATGCATTGAAGACAGTGGTTCCAGGGGCGTAGGAAGCCCTCCAGCAGGAGGGTTCCTATTCTGTGTCAGCAGCCAGCATAAGCCCTCAAGTGTAGTAGCACTCCATTTTCCTGCTGCTTGTTCACCTGTAGTCAGCATGGCCCGAAAAAGGCTGTCTACGAAACATCCTGAGATGTTTTGTAACTCACTCTGAGTTATTACCTTTACTGTGTTATTTTGACAGCCTTACGCTTAACGATATTTTTATTTTCATTTTTTCTTATGTATTGTTACCTTCTTTTTTAACAAAGATGTGTCTGAAAAATTTTAAGTATGTCTTTCCAAAAGTATATTTATCCTCATTGCTATGCTGGGCTTTATAGTGATTGTATATTTTTTGTGTTGCTCTTAGAATTTGTTATGGTATATTTGCTGTTTTTTCCAATACCGGTATGATGAGTTAAAAGGGGTCCACAGTTTTTCCAGAAGTGATCCAATTTATAATTTTCCACAGCTGGCAATGAATGTGTCATATAGCTGTTCTGACTGCTCTCTCCATTTCAATTGTAGAGGCTTCCTCTATTCCGATTTTATTTTAGTAGTTTTACTATGTCTGCTATTTATCAGTTTTTTAAAATTTCTGTGCAAACTTTTAACTGTTATCGGCATCATTAAAGCACTTCAATTATATAATTCTTTGGTCTTTTAATATACTGT